GACTCGATAACCGCTCCTGCAACTGTATTCTACAACTGCTTAACTTTCCTATTTTCTATATATTGCTGTATGCTTGCTTCTTTAATCAATCACTTGTTCTCATATACTAGTACAAGGGTTCAACTACTCAACTTCCGCTGCACTACTCAAGTCTCATTCTACAACTAGGACTCAGTCTCTGGAAAGATCCTAAGGGCTTTTCTCAGCCCAACATGGTATGAGAGCTGGTCAGTGACCAAACTCCTAGCAACTACGCTCTATCTACAATCTGCAATTCAAACGACTTCATTGATTACAAGTCATGGACAGCAAGGGCAAGAAAATCTATACGGGCTCACCCAGCACCCAAGACACTCAACCCGGCAACTCTGGATTGCACACTTCAGGACTGCAAACCGAGACCGGCGCTGCTCAAGAAACAACTGGAAGAGCACCGGAAATGGTGACTCCATCACCCTCTTCAAGCGTGGATCCGAACCTTATGGAAAGGTTCTTCAGCTTCATGTCACACTTCGACCAGCAGCAGCAGACAAGGACACCTGCGCATTCAACACAAAGCAACGGATGAAACATGGGATTAGCGCCGATGAGCCTTGACAACTCATTGTTCGGGCGACACAATCAAGCGCCTACCTTTGCGCCTTATCAATCTTCACCGGGGACGTTCGAGTTCATGCCGCCCCGTGCCCAACCAACAGCAGCTGCATCACAACAGACACCAAACGAGATTTTAAGTCTCCAGGCGCAGTTTTCACACGTGATTAAACTGCAGACATCCTCACCATTCAACGAACACGATTTCTTTACCTGGAGTTTTGAGTTCGAGCTGCTGATGGAGGCTGCGCATCTCTTGGGATACTTCAACGGGTCCCTGCCATTCCCAAGCAACGGCACTGGAAAGGAGCAAGAATTTTTTACGTATCAGTCGCTGCTGGCGTATACAATTCTCCTGCGGAACCTGTCACCACAAGAACAGCAGAGCATCAGAACGTATCGGAGCTACGGAAACTCCGCGGAACTCGCATGGCATCACCTCAAGTGTCTCTATCAAGCAAACGACAGCGTGACACAAAGCAGACTCATGCAGCAGCTGACAACAATACAAATGAAGACCGGGGAAAAGGCGATGCAGTATATGAGTCGATGCCAAACACTCCGCGACCACCTGCTTTGGTGCGGAGGAACAATCACTGAAGAAAGCTTCGTGACGCTTGTCCTCGCCGGGCTCGGGCCAGAATGGAGAACCACACGCTCGCTTCTTCGCGCCCACGGAAGGATCTCGGAGATGCACCTCTGCGCCGAGCTTCATGCTGAACAACAGGAGATGGACCTGTTTGAAGAAAGACAACCAAGAAAGCAGCAGCAGTTAGTTTTTTTACACTCAACAAAGGAACGACAACAACTACAATCGACGCGGCAAGCAAGATCAACGCGACAACAGAGGACTCACCATCGTGCTGCCGTTCTGCCACAACTGTCAAACATCCGAACATTCCAAAGTCAACTGCACACGTCCTCGTGTTTATCGCCCAGTAGACCCACAAGTCGCTTCCACTCAAGAAAGCCCTCCAAGGAGTTCTTCCAGATCTGCACAAGGGACACCGAACATCATCAACTGTATGATACACATTGACAACTGCGCACCAAGATCACCACCCACTTACGCGCCAGACGAAGAAGAACTCCCGCCGCCGCGCTCACAAGGACTTCAAGTCAACCCGACATATGCTGCAGTCTCCAACGCCGAACTCACCGGACGAAACACCTGGTTCTTGGACAGTTGCTGCGGTCAACACATGTGTTCTTCTGGACGCTTCGTGCAACGAGAACGACGCCTCAACCGCGACGTCATCATCACCGTCGCCAACAACGAAAACCTGAAAACAAACAGACAAGGAGTGGTTCAGTTACAGTCCATGGAAACAAATGTCATCCTGCAACTCAACAAGGTCCTAATCGTCGACAACTTGGGATACAATCTGCTAAGCGTCAGCCAGCTAATGGCAAAAGGGATTCACCTGGAGTGCGACTCGGACTCCAACGAGTTTCGTCTTTACCACGGGAAAGGCGGCCTCTTCATCGGTCGTGCTCTCCTGAAGTCCGGCGTTTTCATCCCTACGTCATCACTTTTATCGATGCAGCAACAAGATATGTTTGGCACTACAACCTCAAGACGCGCGATCAAGCCTTCAACTCCTTCACGACATGGCTCCCCATCGCCGAACGAGAATCAGGAACCAAGCTCAAGAGCTTCCAGTCAGACGGTGCACTGGAATACCAGTCACAACGCTTCAGGACCTATCTGGCGGAAAGAGGAATCAGACGCCTGATGTCTCTGCCCTACGCTCACAAGCAGCAGGAGGTCGCAGAACGCATGAACCGGACCTTGCAGACGACGATGCGAAAGCTGCTCCTGGGGATGAGACTGCCCAACACACTGTGGCCAGACGCGATGACACATGCAGTCCATCTGCACAATCTGTTGTCCTCGTCATCGCTTCCCAACAACGCATCACCGCACCTGCTGTGGACAAGAAAAAGGGGCAGCACAAAATTACTTCGAGTTTTCGGCTGCATGGTACAGTACAGACCCCACACAGCCCGAGCAGGACGCTTCACTCAACGAGCTCGGTGGGGACTACACCTCGGCATCGCCAAACATTTTCACGCATGGAAAATCCTCGACATACACGACAAGAATACGGTGGCATCACGTGATGTTATCTTCTACGAGCGACTGACGCTACAGCATTACCTGGACAACATTGCCAAGACACGAGACCCCACCGACGGCCTCGCGGGCCTTCGTTCCTTCGCCGACCGTGCTGCCGAGGCTGACGCAGCAGAAGAAGACGTACCTGGAGCCTTGGAAGCTGCCGGACCACTCCCTTTCTGTTCCGTACCTGTTCCACTCGATGAAGCCAATCCCCTCCATAGCAACAACCTCGACACCTTTTACCACTTCGCCGACCAAGGTTACGTTACACCCCACCCCGTCGACACGAATGTTTCAGAACGCATCGGCCCCAACTTCTTACCTGATCCAGAAGATGGTGACGAAGCAGCTTATTCCGGGAATGAAAATTCCCCTCGACACACACCCACGGGACTGCAGATCCTCGGCCTATGGGTCTCCGTCCAGCACCCGCCGCCGCCATCTCCGCGCGAGTCCTCGACTCTGTCGCAGGCTCTGGGGGGGGAACATAAGGCGAAATGGAAGGAGGCGATGGAAAAGGAACTAAAAGCTCTTCAAGACCGAAATACATGGAAGTTGGTACCTACAACGAACATCAACGGGAAGAACGTCCTCTCCGGAAAGTGGGTGTACCGCATCAAGACCAACGCGGACGGCTCCATCGAACGATTCAAAGCTCGATGGGTCGTACGAGGCTTCGATCAACGATACGGAACCGACTACACATAAACCTTTGCCCCAGTCTCCCGTCACACCTCCCTGCGCATCCTACTCGCCGTCGCGGCCACGAAGAAACTATCACTACGCCAAATCGACGTCGCAAATGCTTTCCTGTACGCACCTGTGGACGCTGAGATCTTCGTTGAGCAACCCCATGGATTCATCGACGACCCTACAAAAGTATGCCAGCTGATAAAATCCCTTTACGGGATCAAGCAAGCCCCGCGGCTCTGGCAGCAGCATCTTCACGGTCGCCTCGTAAAAATCGGATTCCTACAACTGCCGCATGACCAAGGCATGTACCGACTGCAGAAGGGAAAAGAGTATATCCTACTCATCGTTTACGTCGACGACCTGCTCTACATCGGTTCCACCACCGACATCGCCACCTGGTTCGAAGGGGAGCTGAAAGGGGACTTGACACTCACAGTGTCCGACTCAGTGACCCAGTACATGGGACTGAATGTCGTCGAAGACAACTCGGCGTTCTACCTACACGCTGGAAAATACGCAGGCACTATCGCAAAGAAATTCGGTCTAACGCCGACTACGGTCCCGACTCCCTACCGCTACGGGAACAACAGCAACACCTCAGCAAAACTCCCCGCGAAGCAAATCCAGGAGTATCAGCAGAAGCTCGGCTGCCTACTATTCGCAGCAGTAACCTGCCGACCCGATCTATCTTACAACGCGAGCCAACTGGCGACGCATCTGAAGCAGCCGGAACAAGAAAATCTCGAGGAACTTAATCGGGCACCTACAGTAAAATCGACGATCGAGAACGGGCTACATCTACCGACTAGAACCTATCGGGACTATCTCCTGGCAGTCGAGCAAGCAGGAACTAATCGCACTATCTTCAGCTGAAGCAGAATATATCGCCCTCTGTACTGTGACCAAGGAAGGACTCTACCTACGAGAGCTGCTAGAGGAAGCGAAGATTGCGACCCTGCCCGTCTTCTCACTCCTCTGCGACAACCAATCTGCGATCAAAATCGCGAACAAGGACGGCTTCGCCAACCGAACCAAACACATCGCCCTGCGGTACTTCTTCGTCAAGGATGAAATCGCGAAAGGGAGACTTCAACTCAGTTACTGCCCTACGACAGAAATGGCCGCAGACTATCTGAGGAAGAAATTGGCGAAGGCAAAAATCGATTACTGCATGCTGCTGACTGGGCAGACAAAGGTCACCGGATCTGAACACGTCAGCACTCCAGAAACGAAGGGGAGTGTTGGAAATGTTTCAAAGGACTTCAGCGTTTCTGAAGTGTAACACTACACTCGAGGAAGATCGCAACGGGTACACGAGTCAACGGAGGTTACACGAGGGGATGTGCAAAGAACGCGAAGGGACTTGAAGAGTTGCAGCTGGAGGTTGCGGCTGACCGTTACAACAGCGCGGATGGTAACCGAAGCGACAATCGAGTCGCTGTGCGACTCGATAACCGCTCCTGCAACTGTATTCTACAACTGCTTTACTTTCCTATTTTCTATATATTGCTGTATGCTTGTTTCTTTAATCAATCACTTCTCATATACTAGTACAAGGGTTCAACTACTCAACTTCCGCTGCACTACTCAAGTCTCATTCTACAACTGGGACTCAGTCTCTGGAAAGATCCTAAGGGCTTTTCTCAGCCCAACACTCATGTCCAGAATCTCTACAGTGCTCAGTGCACAGGCACCGTGAAGTTTCACCCCAGCAATTACTCATCTTGGTTTTGGCTTGGTAGTTTGTAATGGACCAATGGGGAACCCTTATATTAGTGTTAGTATGCATTACTTCACACATGATGTCAGTCTCTAGGCATGGGTTGCAGCGCCCATTCTTCACAAGGCCTTGAGCGCCTCAATGAAGCATGCAAGCGCACCAAAGCATCTCTCACTCTCTCTGAGCTTGGGGAAGATGACCACGAAGTCGTGCACCGCGTGGTACCGCAGCAGCGTGCACGGCGCCTTGTGGCGGCGCAGCAGCGCGTGGTACGCCGTGCCATGGTCGTGCAGCACGTCCTGTGACGCCACCACCACCACCGTGGGAGGGAACAGGGCCAGTGTGCTGAAGTCCGCCAGCCTTGACGGGTTGCATGCGTAGTGGTCTCTTGATGAGCCCGGCGGGAGGAAGTCTTGCCACGCGAGGTCCGTGTTGCGCAGGTTGAACGTGAGGCTGTGCTGCCACTGCACGTCAGACCCAGTCCGCTGCTCCGACCCGAAGTACGGGCAGATGAGCACGTTCCCCAATATAGTCAGCCCAAATGCCGTCACCGGCTGCCCGCGTCCCGCGTACACGGCTGACGGTGTAATGGCGGGGCCGTCAGAAACAGCTGCTGCCGACTTGCCTTCACCTGCTGCTCCCCGAAATGCCTTGCTTCCTGTCAACACTGCAGGCTTTGCTGCGTGGTGCAATGGCGAGCCTACGGCCGACGCCAGGTCGAGCGGCTGTTGCAGCAGCATGAGAAGTGCGTTGTGCACAATGTTACCACCCGCACTGTCGCCCATCAGCACCACCCGCCTGCTGTCGCCATAAAGCCGCAGCCAAGGCTCCACCCCTGGCGTCGCACCGTCGCTTTCGTCCACTCCCATTACACTCTCCATCGTCTCTTCCGTGCGCGGCCACGCCACACCCACTTGCCGCCCACCTCCCTGTGCCCGCCACACCTCGTCTCCCGCGCATGCCCCCGTCTGCTGCCCCACCCAAGCGAGAGCCTCGAGCGCGTCCAGGTATGGCGCGGGGTAGCGGGTGCGGGGCGTGCGGCGGTAGTCGACGCTGACGACGACGCAGCCCGCGAGCAGCGCGAGGTGGCGGCAGAAGAAGTCGTAGGCCCGGAAGGCGGCAGTGCAGTACGTGAACCCGCCGCCGTGGAAAAACACCACCACGGGCAAACGGGCTCGGCGCGCAAGTGACTCCAAACTTTCGCCGCAAACCTGCCCAATAGAGGACGCCGCTACTGCGGCGCTAACTGCTCCGGCGGGCCCATCTCCGAGGTCGATGACGTCAGCGTCGAGCGTGGGGTGGACGGCGGTGTCGGGGTCCTCGTCCCAGTCGTGGGCGAACAGGCAGCACCACGACGGCATGCAGCGACGCAGGAAGCGGTAGCACGCCACACATAAGGTCGGGCGCACTCCCGTGGTGGCGGCGACTAGACCAGCGCGGGGAAGGAAGAGGCGAGCTGCAAGGCGGGTGCGGGGATTGATCAGCACGTCTCGTGTGGCGACGCCGCTGTGGCAGCAATATGGGGCAAGGCGAGAAAGAAGTGCAGAAGTTTGAGTGCAATGCAACGACAGAGGAATTAGATAGAAAGATAGAGAGAGTACTAAGTTCCGACCATAGTGGCATCACGGCACACTACCCCTCTAGCGGAAATCTAGAATGGCTAGCAGTTGATGCTTTGTGACAGACTGATGCGGTACTACGCGCATGCATGCATGCACATGGCACTGACCCCGAGAAGGATTCGCTGCACGACGTGGACATGAACATGTTGTCCTCCAGCCATCGCCGCACGGAGCCGTCGGGACGGCGGAGGAAGAGGGAGACGAAAACATGAAGAAACGCGAGGACGACGAATATGACGAGCTGCTCGACGGCCGTGACCACAATCATCTGCACGGCCGGCAACAAGGGGCGACACGGACAGATCGCGCTTACTGTGCATGGGGAGGGTGACGAGGGGACGCATAGTGATGAGGGCAGATTCATGCCTAGGGCCATAATGTGTCCTGAGACCACGCAGGACGAAAGCCAAGGGCGTCGCACTTAACCATGGAAGGTGCTCTCGAGAAGGAGGACAAGAATGACGCACCTGCTCTGACCCACGAAGCGCCTTGTTGCGCTCTAGTCGGTCGAACAGAAGGATGAAACCTCAGCGGTCTACTCCGTTCTTATCATGTAGCGAGACTTGTCAAGCATGTATGCTACACAATGTTCTATCCCCACAATACTATGCTCACGGCTGGTTGAAACAGCAAATAGAAGGGAGAATCATTCACGTAGTACGACAATGCCCAGTGAGAATCGGGTTGAAAGCCACAGAAGTTTCATCGACCTGATCAAATGGTGAGGGCTACGAGGCGCGGTGGGATACTGGCCCATCAGCTTTCAACTTTGCCTCTCCCCCGAACTCCACACTGAAGCACGGCAATATTCGGCCTGGGCATCACATCACGCACGGCATCCCACCGCAACACATCCACCTCGATTTGCGCCACGGTTTGCTTCGGTTCGCCCCAGAAGCTGCCCCGGTAAGCGCACGATGGCGGTTGATCGAGGGCTATCTCTCACCGCACCGACTAATCTACAGTTCCTCAAAGGCACCGCACGTAGCAGCCTCGTGAGAACCCAGCATCAGTCACTTCTTTTCCGAATTCTGCGTGCAGCGTGTATCGAAGTGCCACGTGGAACGGAAAGCTGCTGAAAGCTGGCGCTGGGTGCTGGGTGCTCCGGAAAGGGTCAGGTCAGGTGACTCAGGTCACCCTCGCATCTGTAGCTACGAGTGATTTGTAGGGGTGTGTCCCAAGAGTACATTTTCATGCCTTAACCGTACTCAACCGTTTTAAAGAGCTATCAGATCATTTTAAATCAAACCCAACCGCAATCAAACGAACTCACGCCTTAAGACCCGCGGCCCAAATTGTTCAAACGCACTGCGTATGAAGTTTGACCCTCAGGCTGTACGAAATACGCTGGAAAATCGCGAGGGCGTTTACTCTCGCAAATTCAACGCTTGTCGTGAACCGTCAGATTTACAAACACACAGTTTGACGGATGAGATTACCTTTCGACTGATTGGGGGAAGTGCTTGGCTTACGCGCCGTCAGATGAAAATCTAGAAAAACTGGACGGTTGAGAAACGCTCGGCACCCGGTGTTCCAAATTACCTTCCGCACTGAACTTGAAAAGCACCCCTGAGTGAGGAGAGTCTCGTTACCCCCCAATACACCCACGAAAACGCAACTTTCAAACGCACTGCGTTTGAAGTCGCGCCTCGCAAATTGGGCCGCGGGCTTTAAGGAATTGTTGCCCTCCAGGTGGCAACCCATACAGAATTTTGCCCCACACAAGATTTACTGTTGAGATAGTGCTTACGACTTTCTGAAAACTAAGAAAATATTATCTCAACCACAATTCCTCCACCAAAGCACGCTTTAAGCATGGTAAGTCCACTACCACTACCATTCGGAGATTTATGCGAATAATGAGCAAGTACAGCGTCCTCAAGTACAGTGCCTTCACAATAGTATGATGCATTAAATCACACTTGGCGTAGAAGGCAGCATGCGTGTCAGTCAGCCACAACACGAGCTCTCGACTTTCTTCTCAGGCTGTGGTGCATTGATGTCAATGGTTTGACCACGTCCCGGCTGATAACTATCTTCATCTGGTGCAAGTGCTCTCTTCGTCATCATCCAGTAAATCTCCGTCAGGATCTGCGTAAAAGCATCTTCGACATTGGTGGCATCTAATGCAGATGTCTCAATGAAGAAAAAGCCCTCCTTTTCTGTCAAGCAAAGATAACACACAAATTGAGAGCCATAACATAGACAGCACACACGACATGAGGCATACGAGGAGCTGAGTGTCAGACATTTACCGTTAAGACATGATATGCTACTGGAAAAAAAAGTTCAACGTACATCTTTAACGGCATCCATGATAAGGTGTGACCAAAAAAAAAACTAAGAGCTCGAGAGATCTGGTTTTGGCGGACTGATGATGCGGAGGTGCTTCTAAGCAAGCCGAAAAGGGATAGACAGGAGGGAAGCGAGAAGGGTGCCGGAAGAAAGAACCCGAGTAAACAGTAAATGACCCAATCTGGCCAGCGAAGGGGCAAGGTACGGGAGGGGAAGCACAGCAGAAAGAGCGAAGGATAAAAATGCCTACCAGCGAAGCCTTGAGACTTGTCCATAGCCACCTTCCGGAGATGCTTAAGGTCGCATTTGTTGCCGACCAGAGTAATAATAATGCTTTGATCGCCATGGTCCCGAAGTTCCTTCAGCCATCGCTCAACATTGTCGAACGTCACTTGACGAGTGATGTCGTAGACAAGAAGGGCGCCAACGGCTCCCCGATAGTACGCGCTCGTGATGGCCCTGTAGCGCTCCTGCCCGGCCATGTCCCATATTTGAGCCTTCACGGTTTTGCCATCCACCTGGGTCCAGAAAATGCACAGGGATTATACAGCACGAAAACATGGTTTCTTACCTATAACCGACCAGTGATCGTTAGACACATGGCGCATGAAACAATGCTGGAGTGCTAAGATGCGAATCCCTACCTCGATACTTCGTGTAGCAAACTCGACTCCAATAGTTGATTTTGACTCCATATTGAACTCATTTTTCGTGAAACGGGAGATCAGGTTGGATTTGCCGACGCCAGAATCCCCCACTAAAACAATTTTGAAGAGGTAGTCATAGTCATCGTCAGGTTTGTGGTGGGCCTTCATGGCTTCAAACAAGGAGATGCCGTTTCCAAATCGAGGTACGGCCCACTTCGAGAGGAGGGCGAAATGTTGCTTGTGGTGGAGGGTGATGGAAAAGACGATAATGAGATTGACGCTCAGGCAGATGCTTAGATTGGCGGGCCCATATTTCGGCCCCTGAGGCACAGCAAACCCCATCGGCCTGTTTCGTGAGGCGAAGTGCTGTGGTGGATGGTGGGATGGGGAGGAAGCCCTCCTGAGCCAGGAGACCCGCAGATTGCGGGACTCTCCCACCCACTCACATGCTCCCCTGGCCTGCCCCAGATGTTGGACAAACCTGGTTACTGGCTTGATTCGATAACACCAGGAACAGCCCTTGTTATGAATGAACAAGCGGAGTAGCGCGGAAATGAATAACGAAGTGTTGAATCACTGAATGACGATACAAGGAATGGCAAGCCAAGATATAGGAACCCTAGAGCTTGTCTAACCACGAGATGGGAAGGTTCGGGAAAGAGATCGAAGGGTCACAAAGTGACGAAGCGAGGCCCGGAGAACTCCCGAAGGTCGAACTAGAAGGTGTGGAGAAGCCGAGGCGGTTATGTCAGAATGGACCAGAACTGTCCCGAGGATTTGGGTGTGTTCGAGCATACGCGATAGCAGTACCGCTCGGTAAGGAATGGAAAATTCCTTACACCACCCCCCCCCCTTAGCGAAGGTGATCTATGTCAGCCACGTGCTTGCGGGCCAAATAATTCGCAAGTATCGAATGTGACTGTACCTGGTCAGAGGGCACCCACATGTCGTCCTAACTGGTACGATTGGTCAATCGTATAAGAAAGTCAACGTGTCGTCCTTGGCCGTCGATACGAATCCTATGGCTCAAAATCTTTGAAGGCTCGATGGTCGTCTCTGCTAGTGGCCGTACATCCGGGACCAATCGCTGTCGAGCGATGTCCGAAGTGTCAGGTACGAAGGGTCGCAACAGGCTCACGTGGAACTTGTCGTGAATACACCAATCGTCAACTAGGCGTAACTTGGCGGTCACCGGCCTCACCATCTTCATGATCTTGAATGGGCCACAGAAACGTGGTCGTAATTTCGTCGGTAGTGATAGCCGTAAGTTCTTGGTGTCCAAAAGGACTAGTTGCCCTAATGCCATTGTAGTATCCCGTCGATGTAAATCCGCATACCGTCGAGAAGTAGCGTTCGCCTTGCGAATAAGTTCGACGGCTTTATCTCGGGCAATATGTAATTCTTCGACAAACTGCTGCGACCGTGGTACTTGACTCTCAACGTTGGTGGAGATAGGTACTGTGGGGTCCATCCCGTAATTGAGGTAAAATGGGGAGTGATTAGTCGTAGCTGAGGGCGCGATGTTGTAGGAGAATTCCAACATAGGCAGCGCGTCCTCCCATTTGTTTCGATCGGGGCTGTTTGTCCGAATCAGCTGCTCCATCGTTTGGTTTGTCCTTTCTGTTTGACCGTCCATTTGGGGATGATATGCGGATGAGAACTGCAGGCGCGTGCCGTACCGAGCCCACGTGTCCTGCCAAAATTTCGACGTGAACTTCGGATCTCGATCCCTAATGATTGCTGTTGGTATCCCGTATAGGCGAACAACGGTCGAGATGAACAGTCGCGCGGTTTCTTCGGCTGTGATGGTTGTACGACATGGTGCGAAATGCGCCATTTTCGTCAATCTGTCGACGACAACCAATACTGCGTCATTTCCGCTGGATTCGGCAGGCAGACTGTGACGAAATCCATTGTCACACGTTGCCATGGGTGTTGAGTTGGCTCGAGGGGCTGCAGCAGTCCTGTCGGTCGCTGATGCGATGATTTCATTCGCTGGTAGATCAGACACGCGTGTGCAGCGTTACGTGGCACTAAGTCCACGTAACGCTGCACATCCGTCACGATATAGGCCCAGTAATAAAACCGCTGCAATGCATTCAGAGTTTTATCAACCACGAAATGTCCCGATAAATTCAAATCGTGGACTTATTGAATTAGTAATTCGCGAAGTAGACGATAACTTGGGATCCAAATTCGATCCGTCCCGCTTCGTAAGTAATATACGCCTTTTCGTGTAGTAATTTGGAGATGGTCGTCATTTACGAAGAAGGGGTCAGTCGAATACCCGTGGGTAGTCCACTTAGTAGCGGGTTGCTCTGGGCGACTAGTACTGCTGCGAGTTGGGCAGACGGTCTGGAAAGGGCGTCAGCAATATTGCTGGCGCCTTTTTGTACGTGATCTTGTACGTGAAGTTGGACTCCAGATAGTCCAGCCAGCGTATCTGCCACGGGTTGAGATTCGGCTACGCCCTTAGGTACTTTAGAGATTTATGGTCAGTTTGCACCATCACGTCTGCTCCAGTCAGCTAGCACCTCCAGTTTTTGGACGCATGGACAATCGCCAGCATCTCCTTGTCATGTACCGGGTAGTTGCGCTCAGCAGTTTGCATTTTCCGAGGCTCGTACGTGATTGGTTGAAGACCATTGCCAAAATCTTGCATGAGCACGGCTCCGATGGCGATGTCACTTGCGTCGGTGATGACTTCGAAGGGCCGTTCCGGGTCAGCGATGCGAAGTACCGGTGGCGACATTAAAAGAGTTTTTAATGTCTCGAACGCAGCTTGCTGCTTCTCCCCCCACTCGTAAAAGGTCCCCTTCTGCAGTAGGTCGGTTAGAGGTCCAGTTAACCCCGCCATGTTGGGTATAAACCGCCGCACGTAATTAACAAAACCCAGAAATGATTGGAGCTGCTTTAGATTTGTTGGCGGTTTCCACTCTTGAATAGCCCGGAGTTTTTTCGGGTCTATTTGAGTCCCCTCCGTGGAGATCACGTGCCCCAGAAACTCCAATTCTTGTTTTAAAAACTCGCACTTGGAGCCCTTGGTGATGAGACGATATTGCTGCAGCCACTGAAAAACCGCTCCCAAGTCCTTTAAGTGTTGCTCCTGGGTCTTGCTGTAAATCAGGATGTCCTCCAGGTAAATCATCACACATTTGTCGAGTAGATCGCGGAACACCCTGTTCGTGGTGAATTGGAACGTCGAGGGGGCGTTCGTTAATCCAAACGGCATCACCGTGTATTCGTAACTCCAGTAGCGAGTATGAAACGCGGTCTTGTGACAGTCGTCAGCGAACACCCGAATTTGATGGTAACCGCCACGAAGGTCGATCTTCGAAAAGTAGCGAGCTCCGCGAAGGTTGTCGATCAGCTCGTCCGTGCGTGGGATTGGGTAGCGTGATTTTATCGTTACCCGATTAAGGGCACAATAGTCCGTACATATGCGAAGTCCGCCGTCCTTTGGGGTGAACAGGATCGGCGCTGCGAACGGGGACGTGCTTGGCCGAATAAACCCTTTTACCAGCAGGTAGTCTAGCTAGTTCCGTAATTTGTGTAGCTCCGGCTGAGTCAAGCGCCATTGAGTTCATACAGTAGGCTGCGCGCCGGACTCCAACTCGATTTTGTGGTCCTGGGGACGTTCGGGTGGCAGTCCACTTGGCAAGTCGTCCGGGAAAATCTCAGGATATTCCCGAATGATTTTTGCCAGGTCATCCGGGACTGAAGCACAGAGTTTGTTGATGTCAGTCACCTCGTTCTGCTCCGTCGATTCGGTTAGATGAACGGCGTATAAATCTGCTCGATTCTTAACCGCTCAATTGAGGCACACAGCGTTGACTCGTGTCGAGGTTGTCTCTACTTCCGACCACGTGGGTAATTTTCGCCAGCCTTTTTTGCACTTCACTGTGCACTCGCCTGTCGTCCAATCGATCTGCGGATTGAATATTCGCAGCCAATCGCGTCCTAACAGCACATCGTAGCCGTCGAGTGTTGTCGCTAGCATCGGCGCGCTGAAGCCAAAATCTTCGCCACACTTCATTCGAACGACGGGTACTTTGTCGTATATCGCCAGCGGGGTGCCATCCACTAGTCTCGCGTCTATTTCGAGCAGACACCGCTCCAACGACAAGTGTAGTCTTCGTGCTGTCTCCCGATTTATCATGGTGTGACGCGCACCTCCGTCGATGAATATTTTATTTTTTCTTCCATTGAGTCGTCCTTCCGCCAGCACAGGGTGGTCCACTGGGTCATCCCCCTTATTCAACCGGGAGCAGTTGATAGCATGTATCGGAACCACTACCCGATGGGGATGGTGTTTTTCGGGCGATGAGGCAGGGTCAGTAGGGGGCCCGACTGCTACTGACGCTTGGCGTTTCCCGACCTGCCTTCGTCGTTCTTCTTTATCTGCTTCTTCCGGCGGCAATCGTGAGATTGGTGACCCAGCTGGTGGCAGTTGAAACATTGTCCCTTGCGAAAATCTTCCATGTGCTCCTTCGTCACTACGCCGTGAATCGTGGGCCGTGGATCGTGGCCGCGAAAACGATTTCCCTCTCGAGAACCCGCTCTCGCATACAGCGACGGAAGAAATTGTCCATATCTCAGCTTGTGTAGGCGAATAATCGTGTGTAGTGTTTAGAGATGCAGCTTATTAATTGCCTGGTTTTAAGGAAGAGTTAGACATATGCCTATACAAGACTGTCACGTGGGAACTAGCCCTGAAAATACAGTATAACGTGCCTGGGCAAAATCCATACACACACAAGTACACTCGGACAGTTTGTGCCATGTTCAAACTATGCAAAAGACACACTTGAAATCAGTACCTAGTCCATTTTCCCTTAGCCCTGACCACCGCCTTCACCCTCCTAGGCATACTATCAATGAGCCCCCTGCACACATCAGCATCTATCCCCTCCCAGATCTCTTGAATCCGCTCCCAAGTCTGGAGCATTCCTGAGGGGGGGTGCTCATATTTGGACAGCTCGCGTTTGAGATGGGCCCACAAGTGCTCGATGGGGTTGAGATCTGGGGATGAAGAGAGCCACAGCAGGACTGAATATTCCTGCTCGGACAACCACTCTTGCACAAGGCGGGACTTGTGCTTGGGGTCATTGTCATGCTGGAAAATGACATCAGAGGTATTAAGGTCATAAAAGTCAATGGTTTGTGCAAGCTCATCCTGCAAGATGCTTCGATACAGCTGCCCGTCCATACGACCGTCAATTTTACACATGTATCTAGGGCCATCATACGTCATACACCCCCATATCATGACTGACCCACCCCCATGCTTTACTGTTTGTTT